TAAAAAAACGAAGGCAGACCCCTCTTGGCCGGCATTTAGTTGGGTTTAGGGGAACATTTTTGCTGACTCTGTCCCCAAAGAAACCTCTTTCGATTCCATGAAAACATGCTAAACATTTGTCCATCATATGATTGCCATTCAGACAACAATATTGAAGTCATTGTGTCAATAAAACTCATCGACTTTTCCTAATTGTTCATTTATATCATGAAGTTACTCTGCTCTGAGAATGTTCGTCATATGACAAACAAAAGCTTGTCACGTTTTCACTAGAATCGAAGGAGGCTGCCTTTAGGACAGCGTCGGTAAGAATGTTCCTATAAAGCCAATCGACATTTGACCAAGAGGACTCTGCCGTCGTTTTGTCGAGGGATTTGCTTTCGAATCTCTTCATCAAAAACTTCTACTCGAAATAGAAGTTAACTCAACAAATGTCTCCGATTTCCGGGCTGCTGACAGATAACCCTGTCCCTCCGTCGCCGACAATGCTATGTAGACTTGTCCTGTAGTCAGACTGGGGGCACTAACTTTGCTCACACAAATCCTTTGAGAGGTGTGAAGGTGGGGCGGCTTGCTTTCCGTTTGGAAAAAGGACTCAATCTGTGACTATGCTGACACGGCAACTCTTTTTAACCGTGTTTAACGTTGACATCTGCTCGTTAGACGTTGAGATGAGCATTGTTAGAATGACCGATTTCTTCATGCGCCTCAAGACTCTCGCTCCAGGTCGTCTTCAAGTTTCTATTATTCTGCTTCACCTAAGATGCATTTTTTCGACCGGTCTGGTCACCACGACGCTCTGGTCCACTCTGAGGCAGGTCCCGATGGCCCATTATGGCCGACTTCTACCTGAGCAAATGGGAATGGATGAGACCGGCCGGCTTCAGTCGAGCTAGAGAGCTATTGTCTATGATACTACCTACCTTTGGTATAGTGACGACTCCGAAGGCCAATATGAGCCTGGTAGAGGAGGCCTGTTAGAAGCGTGTTTGTCGCATTTTTGGTTTTACTGTTTTTTATTGTCCTTATGCTGGTACCGTCATTCAAGATTTGGGCTCAACTTTCGATTTTGTCGCTGCTATTGTCATCTCCACCACCAATTTCTGTGACTGGCAGGCTTATTTTTGCAACTATTTTCTCCTCCCGTTGCTATTTATCTTTCCGTAAACACGTAAGACCTTAAAAGCGATGATATCAATACTGAATGCATTGTTGTCACCGGTTGGTAAGGGATGAGTTCAAGTGTACTACACACTCCGCCAAGGTTGAATGAGGCAAGATTGCGCTCAGGAAATCCGGCCGTTTGTTTGACAGGACTGTGATCAGATTTCAGGGGCCGTTTGGTTGCGAGCTCTCTTCAACTGCTGCTATGGTCTCCATAAACTGGAAATGGATCAGCCTCTTGTCGATACAAGAGCAATGACAAAACGGACATCACAGTAGGCATTTAAATAATTGATGATCTCATTTCAATCTCTGTCGTCCAAATGTTGTCAAGTGATAGGGTAAAAAAGATGAAAATGATATACGTATGAGATATATTAAATTTCCCCAGGCCATTCGGTTGTTTATTTTTGGAGACGCAGCCCAAATATCACGTGTACCAGTCAGGATGCTGTTAGCAGTCCTGTAGCTGACACAACGAACATTGACGCCAGCTATGTAGCCATGCTTATTGCATCTCTCAACCCGGTCGTCACTAGGTAT